CAAAACTTGACCAAAAACTGAAAGATCACAGGCAGATCACGCTCGAGACCAGGAGCTACAAGAAGCAGCTACAAGAAGCAAAGCAACAAACGCCATCACATACACTAAGAAACCATAGTTAAGCCGCCAGAGCGCCAAAAGCAGCTAGAGCGGCAGAGCAGAGGCCAACTAGCTAGAGACGCTAGCGCACGCAGACGGGAGAGGCTGAACCACATGGAGAGAAACCTGGCACTGCGTCGACCCAAAGGGGCCAATGTTGGAGAGGAGAACGCAATCTCCCCTTTGTCCATGCCATGTCACTATACGAGGACGTTGAACACCGGCCAACAACCATCGGACAGGAGCCACTGAAGGATTGCGGACCAGCCAACTCGCCTCCCACACCACCAGCGACCTAGAGAGTAGCACACCACCACCGCCACCGATCACCAAACACCACAACCGCAACTGCGCCATCCCTAGGACGACACCTCCAAACAGGAACATGTTGTTGGAACGCCGCCGTTGTCCAACCCAAAAGGCCAAGGCTTTCACCTGGGAGCCCGTGCAGGGGGGGATCGAAGAAGAGGGGTGCCGATCGGAAGCTCGGCGTGCCCTCAAGAGGGAACTAGTGCAGGAGCGCCGACACCATCAAGGTTGACACGAAGTATACCAAGGGTTTCCCCCGTTCTAGTCTCCCGCCAACCCATCCCAACGACTAGATCTGGCGGGTGGGCCTTGGGAGGGGGCCAGTATCCATATCTGGCGGAGCCACCAAAACATCTCACAACCACGGAGGACCTCTGCCGCCCACACGGATGGAAGGAATGGCTAGATCCCCTAGCGCCATCCACCGGCGAGATTCGTGTTGCCATCTCCACTTGGGGCTGCTGCCCCGGCATCCGGAGCTCCTTGCGACGGGGCATGGCAGCCAAGCCTCACCGCCACCTTCATCGGAGGCCGCACACCTGGAATGACGGACCCCTCGGGTGGCGGCATGGAGTGGGAGGGATGGCTAGCTACTCGAGTCCCTAGGGTTAGTATCCATAGTGTAGGCCAAATAGCATTTCATATTTATTTTTTGGTACTCGGCATCCATTCTACACATAGAGAATAGAGAGATTGACGCCACATGAAGATCCTTATCAATCAAACTCTTGGATTTCAAACTAATATTATATTGTCATCTTGTAGTGGTGGTGATTTGTTATTTATATATATTGCTTTCCTAACAGTGACTCAACATCACGTGCCTACGTTTCTTGGCTTCAAGTTATTTACTTTAGTTGTTCTATATGTTATACTCCCTATTGAGTTTTTGGGAAAAACACATCAAGTTTTGTGATTAAAGCAAGTGAATAATCCATTGGAAATTCACATCATGAGAAAGTCAAACTAACACATGTCGAGCAATGAACAAGTGCACTCAAACCAGAAACCACATTATTCCTAAAGAAGACTCTTTGTATTAGCCCCACCTTGTGATATCTATAATCTACCAGGCCTCCCAACCACACCATGTAAAGGCATCATATCATCATAGCTTCCCTTAGTCACCTGCAACAACAACTGAATGCTAGTCTTGATATGAACCTAAGTCATCCCCCAAGCTTGTGCTATAGACAACGATTGAATACATGCATGTATTTTGGGTATCTTGTTAACCCTGCTCCAACTACGTCACTAGAGGCACCATCCCCTCGATCCATTCGACTCTAGTAAGGACCATTATTATTAATCTTGAGCATGTCTCCCACAAGTGGGTGTCAAACCTCGAGGCTTTAGTTTGTGGGCTTGGCTTCACTGTCTAAATGGATTTCTTTTGGCACATGTTAAATCAGGGGCCACATTCTTGAACAATCAAAATATAAACATAAATGGTATTCCACCTCACATTTTATTAACACATAGAGAGAACATTTGGAGCTAAGAAAGTAAAGGTATTCATTTTATAGAAAAAAAGTTGCAGGCCATTTCATAAACAATTGGTTCGAAAGAGGATGGCTCGGAGTAGGATGTGTAGGGAATAAAAATTATAGATGAGTGAAGATATTTTAAATTAAACTCGAGTCAGTACTTACCCACCAACATAGGACATGATATACTTTAATCATGAGCACTAGGTCCAAATAATGATACAACCATAAAACATCGTTCTCAAACTTGTGGCTTCTTCATGTACATGAAGGTGTGTAATTAATAACCAAAACACGGAGCACGCCTAGCACACGACACTAGTGGCACAAGAACAATGCATGTGTGTGTGGGGGTGTGTGGAGAGGGAAAACCATGTGAATGAAGCTAAATGGTACCAATGTTCCGGTATTGAGAGAAGCCAACTAGGAATAGGAAGCGCTGGGAATTGAAGTTGGCAACACATGGATTAAAAAAGAACCAGATTATTGTGGTGTTGGAATCCATAATGCAAGCTAAGTACCATTGGCAATTCACCTTTTGGATTACTCGGGCTTTCTACACGTAGTATGATTGTTGTTGCAATATGATCTCCATATCCAGTAATAAATCTATTGGATGTCAAGAACCCAACAAATTTTGGAACGCCTTCTTGCGGTGTTGGTGATATTTGTTGTGTATATACTTCTGTGATTCAGCACCACATGCCTCTGTTACTTGCTCTCAAGTTTTCGACGTTGGTGGTGCATACCAATGCTAGTATGTTTGAAATTGGCTTTGGTATGGATGGAATTTTGGTTGGTATATGCAATAGTTATACTTAGTGTTGGATCGTTTAGCAAAATAAACATTTCATTATGTTATTATTAAGCATTTCACCTTTTACAATTAAAGTAAGTGAATAATCCACATGGAAGTTTCCATCTATAGGAAGTCAAATTAGACGTATCTTAGGAAAAGAACATATGCATTCCTAATTGAAACCAGAATATTCCTCGAGGGGCCACTTTGCATCAACCCTAGCTTATCATATCAACAATCTATTATGTAGTTAGCTCAAACATAAATTCTCAAGGGAATGCTTTGCGTCAAACCTACCTTACCAATAATGCGTCTAGCTCTTTGATTACATGCATCAATGGTATGAAAAGACAGTGAAAACTTGAGTTTGGTGTGGCGATATGCATCTTGTGTTATATATTAGTTAGAACCGTGTACGTGAACATACTTCGTTATCCTGTGAAAATTCAGAAACCTAAGATGGATCCTAGCTTTTTTGTTCTGTCATTATGGAAAGTGGTATGTAGTTTGCTTAAATAAAAATGGTAGATGGAAAAAATTCAAGATGGTCATTCAGAAAATTTGGGTAAGTCAATTTTGTGAGAGAAGGGATGGTTGGAGGAGGAAGAAAGCTGAAGGAAGAAGAAAGAAGGATGATAGTTGTATCTTGATCTAATGGCCCAACAAATCAAATTACCCAAAATAAATTTTCAGGCAACTTACATATAGCCAGCCCCAATAGGAAAAGATCTAGCTAATTTGGTGCCCACCTTTGGACTTCATATTGTAGGCCAAATAGCATTGACAAGTTCATTTTTGGTATTTGGCACCCATTCTACACAGAGAGATTGTCGTCACATGAAGATTGTTATCAAACTCTCGGATTCAGCAACGAAACTAATATTAAAGCAGCTTCTTGCAGTGTTGGTGATATTAGAGCGAGGTTGTATAATATGAATTTTGTGAAACATATTAGCTAGATCTTTTCCAAAGGAAAACATTTCATTATGTTATTATTAAGCATTTCACCTTTTTGGTATTTGGTATTTGGTGACGTAGAGAGAATGTTTGGGGCAAAAAAAGTAAAGGTGTTCACTTTCTTCACAAAAAGCCTTAGACTATTTCACAAAATTCGGTTTCAAAGGAGTTGGCTTAGAGCGAGATGTGTTGACAACTTAAATTACCGACCGGTGAAGATATTTAAAATTAAAGCCGAGTCCGTACTTTGCACATCTGACATGATACAGTTGGAGAAGCTAGGAGCATTAAAGTCCAATAACAACACGTCCATAAAACACAGTTCGCAAACTTGTGTCTTCTTCATGTACGTGAAAAGTGTATAAGTAATAACCAACACATCGAGCACGACTACCACACCTCATTAAGCCACACAAGAAAAAATGTGGAAGAAAGAGGATGAGCCATGAGCATGAAGCAACAACCAAAACAGCGAGCATTGCTTGCACACCACATTAAACCACACAAGAACAATGAGGGAGAAAGAGGGCGAGCCATGAGCATGAAACTGGACGTAACATATGAGGGGGAAAGAGGAGTATTTCAGTATCGAGAGAAGTCGGCTGGGAATAGGAAGGGTTGGGAATTGAAGTTGCAGGCGCTTGGTTTCAAAAAGAGCTAGCCTGGCAAGTCCCTGGCGTTGAAATCCATACTGTAGGTCAAAGAGCATTGCAGAATTCACATCTTTTATTTGGTGTTCTTAGGTGCTTTGTACACATAGTGAGATTGTCACTTAAAGGATGTATACAATAACGAACCAAACTCTTGGATTCAACAATCCAACAAATATTGGGATCTCTTATCAGTAATCCAGCACCACATGTCCATTTTGTGAGTGTATATAGTGCTCTCTTATCTGTATTCAGCACCAGCTGTCTCTTTTACTTGCTCTCAAGTTCTTGACTTTGGCGGTGTTCGCTCAAGCTGGCTCCTGCATGGATGAAATTTTACTTGGTATGCAATATGTTATACTCAGTGTTGGCTTTAGCAAAAGGAAAAGGAATCATTTCAGTTTTTGCAATTAAAGCAAGTGAGTAATCCACACGACGGTTTCACATCGCAAGGAGGTCAAATTAAGCATATCTCTGGGCAAAGACCAGCTGCATTCAAAACTGAAACCACATTATTCCGCAAGGGAACGCTTTGCATCAACCCTAGCTGCTTATGATATCTACAATCTATCAAATCTCTCATTCACACCTGTAACATCCACAAAACCTCCTACATAACCTCCTACATACATGCACATCAACTTCTATTTACCACACGCAAATGCACGTTAAAAGATTAAAAACTGGCGAAGTAACGAATCAACAAGCCATCTGGTCCCTGAATGCATCTAACTCCTCGAATACAGGCAGCCGCCTCGACCTGAACGGTGTCCACTCATTCATCACAAGGTCTAGTCTCTCCATGATCTCTTCAGTGAAACTCAAGCCAATATCAAAGGGCGATGAAACATGTGTAGTCGGACCGAGCTCACTGAGGAGCTGCTCAGCTCGGGCAACCGCCTTGTCGTCATCCAACCCGGAGATTCTGCGAAGTAGGACATCCTCGAGTACTTGCACTGCCTCCTGATGCCTGCCCTGCTTGATCAAGCACAGCCCGAGGTTGCACGCCCTGTTGGCATCAGGTACGATAGTCTGGGCCTTCCGATACACCAATTCTGCGGCTTCATAGTTGTTCTGCTGCATGTAAGCCCAGCCAAGGTTACCCTGTGAAATTGCACATCAAAAGTTTCAGTAACCTGAGTATAACTGAATATTGCTGCAGTGACAGACCAAGACATGCCTAATTAGCAATCAGTAAGAGTAACATGGGAGCAGTAACCCGTACCAGAATGCGTGACATCTCCTGCTGGATCGAGACCTGGAACTTCTTGCCGTGGGAGCGGGCCGTCTTGGTGATCTTCCCGTTGAAGGCCTCGCCGAGGCATATCATCTTGAGCTTCTGTTTCAGCAGCTCTATCTGCTCGTCGACTTTTCCGCATTTCTGAAGATCAAAATGAGACATATCAGGTTAGAATAGATGCACGGCCGGATCGATCCTTGAGCAGATTTTTCCTGTGAGACGTGCAAGTTAGACGCACCTTGTAGAGGTCGATGAGCAGGTTGTCGAGGGACTCCTGGGCCTGCCTGGAGCAGAGGTGCCTGAAGGATCTGATGGCCTCTATGGCCTCCTCGGCGCGGTCCTGCTGCTTCATCACCACGGCCATGTCCTTGAGCGCGCTGTCCACCCTGTCCCCGGAGTTGATCGCCTTCCAGAACCACACGATCGACGCCTCCGCGTCCTTCTCCACGAGCTGATCAATCCAAGCCGTTTCACCCAAGTCAGCAACTTAACGTTTGCAGGGAAAAATATTCTCTCATTTTTTGAGGAAAGGGATTTTTCTCTCGTTCAACTACTCCTAATCATGAATTATGGTGTAACTGAACTTAATTCGATGTGATTAGAACATAATCATTCACTAAGCACGCAGGTCGACTCCGCGCGATGGACCACTGCCCATTTGTGGCAACACGGAGAAGTAACCTTAGCACAGTGACCGATTCGGCGAGCAATGGTTTCTTTCGGCCAAGAGGAGCAAAGAAGATTTGACGGCGAGAGCAAGAAGTCAAGAATCGCCCGGAGCCGACGGAAAAGTAGGGAATAATACTGTGATCTGCTTTCATGCTGGCCGTTATCATGATTGGGCAACCGGTGCACAATCAAGGCTACTGCATACAGTATAGTATATTCCAGTTTCCGTTTTAACCACAATAAATCCACTAGAGAGAGGCAGAATTTGCATGGGCAGGAAGGGAGCTGCGAATGATTAACCAACCTGGAGGTGCTTGGCCCGGACGTAGGGGCTGTCGCCGGCGGGCACCTTGTGGACGACGTGGAACAGATCCTTCCTCTCCACACCCCCGCCACCGCCGCCGCCTCTCCTCTTGGAGGGTGTAGGTGTGGCCATGCCGTCGAAGCTGATCCGGAACCGAGGCTGGGGGGGAGAGGGAGAGGGAGAGGAGAACAATGGGCGCGCGCGGATTGCTTGCCGGCTGGTGGTTTGTTTCGCGGGTTGCGGGATCTGGAGGGTGGGAAGGGAGGGAAGAGGGGGCCGCGGGGGATGACGAGGCGGGCGGAGTGGATCTGGACGGGAAGGCGTCCGGGTTCGAGGGCGGGGGCTGGATGGCGACCTGGCCCCCATCCGGCGGTCGGGTGGGCACCACGCGTCCGCTTCCGCAGTGACGTGCTCGCGGCGCCTCGGGCGAGCACCGGGTGTGACGGGCGGCTCGAAGCCTGTTTGATGGGCGTTTAACGAGCTCAACTCCGTCCCGATTGGCCGCATCTTCTAGACGCATGTGCGATGTACTGGTATTCCCTTTTCTTTTCCGAGACAACTAAGGCTGGTCACAATGGGCAAGAACATAAGCTAGTAACTTCACACTTTCCTAGACTATGTTACTACCTCCATAGTGGGTAGGAACATCCATGTAGTGTCATGCAACGATGTATTTATTAGGTTATAGACTCATTGTTTCTTGGAGTGTGTGATGTTCCGGTAACTTAGCTAGTTACCACAAGCACCTCTCTTTTCATTAAATACATGCCACATAAGCAAAGTTGTATTGGAGTGTGTGATGTTACTCCTAAGTTCCACCCCACTGTGACCAGCCTAAGAGTATTCCTTTAATTAAAAAAGGAAAAAAATTCCAAAACATACGTTAAACTTGTAGACGAAAGATAAATCGAACCCTGAGTTTGTAATCTCACAAATTATTACAACGAACTTTTCGATTCCGGTCTATTTTGAACCTTCAGGGCATTTAGCTGAAATTCGCTGATGTGGCAAGTCAAATTCTAGGATCATTGATCGCCTAGCTGGACATTAGCATGAATCAGACCGGCCCATTGGCGCAGTTGCTCGCGCTGCTCTGTTTTTTTTCTTTTTTGTTTCTTTGTTTTTCATTTTTTTAGTGATAAATATATTTTTAAATATTTTGTAATGACAATTTTTTTAACTACACAAAGCCACTTGTCTTCTATAACGAGAGCGACAAAAAAAATACCCTAACCAGAGTGCTTTACAGGCCTCAATCTCGGGATATCGCACCGAAGCGCCTGCAACTAGCCACTCGCTCTGAAGGTTGCTCGTGACGATAGATGACGCGACCTTAATAAGAACATATAGGAGCGTTCATATATGTACACACTTCTTTTATAAAACTCTAAACATTTCTTGAATAAACATGTGAACGATTTCAAAATGCCAATTTTTTAGACGAAAATAATTTACGAAGTTCTATAAATATTTTTTGGAAAATGTGACACAATTTTTGAAAATCCAAACATTTTCCGAAACATGTGAAACTTTTGGAATTCCGAACATCTTTTGACAAATGTGAATTTTTTTTAAAATCACGAACCATTTTTAAAAATGTAATCAGAAATTGAATTTAATTCCAAACATTTTTTGAAAACACGAAACATTTTTCAATTTATAACCAAAAAAGGAAACATGAACATTTCTTGAACTTTTCAACAAATTATGAAATGTGGGAACATTTATTACAATTCTTCGTTTCACGCCAGATGGGCCGGCCCAATTGCGTCTGCGGGCAACAATCCCGGGATTTGGCTCTCCTAGATCGACAATCCCTACTTGGAAACGCCCTCAAGGTTCAAAATAGCCCGTGATCGTGATTTCAATGTGTTGATTTCTGGGATTATAAGTTTATGGTTCAATTTAGCTTTTGTCTACAAGTTCAAGGTTTATTTTGGATTTTTTTTCATTAAAAAATACTTACTTCCGATAAAGTAATATCACTGTTACATGTGCACTCTGACGTGATAACTTACATATAAACATCAGGTAGTTTCTTTGATCCGGTAGAAAAGCAGCTGTCGGCAAACATACCACATTAACTACTTTGTAAACAACCTGATAATTTACGCACAACATAGTTGATAACTCACATACAAACACCATGATAACTATTGACTCCGAGAAAAAGAGTTGTTGAAAAACATATCGCAGTAACTTCTGCGTAAAGAGCATGGTAATATACACACCACAGACATGATAATTTATGTATAAACACCGTGGTAATGCTTTGATCTGGAGGAAAAAGTTGTTGAAATCTGCCCCGATAACTTCTGTATAAATAGCATGGTAATTTAATCACCATAGATCTGATAACTTGCATAATAACATCATGATAACTTTGAACCTAGAAAAAAGTTGTTGAAAACATAACCTTGATAACTTTTATGCACATAATATGATGATTTATGCACCGTAGACATGAGAACTTAGGTACAAACACCACGGTAACTTTGACCGGAGATTTTTATAATTGAAAGTATACCCCAAGTAATTTCTGTGTAAATACTTTGGTACTATTAGGAAAAATGCCCGTGCGTTGCAACGGGAAAAAATAACACAAGCTCCTAGCCCAATAATAACCATTGCTCAAGATCCAAACTATACCCTATACCTGTTCTATACATCCTTCATCCTTTATCCTTCATCATAATTGGCGGGAATGAGAATCCTATACCGCATGAACAACTTCAGCATTGCACGACAACGAACAGCAAGAGTGCGCAGTCAAGAAAAAAGCAGGCAAAACAACAAACATGTGTCCGATTGAAAATGCAACTTTAACTATCCGATTGAAACCACAAGCTACAGGCCTGAGAGGACGCACAAATCCTCAACTTAACTAACTGGCCACTTCTATTGCTGGAAAAACATCTCTCCGTAGCACAGTACCATCGGGTGACACCAGCCAGCAGCCAACAAACCAGCTTTGTTCAGTCAAAATTAGATCCCAGATGAATCCCCAAATCAAAGCAGGGTAGCACCACACCAGCAGATTACAACCTGATCATAGAACATGAACAAAACATAATTGTGAAAGACTGAAGATTATGTGGGCTTGTTGATTCCAGCCTGGAAATTTGAATCCCTGAAAATAGGGCGGTGTTAAGATGTAGATTTGAGCAAACAGCAAAGTACACATATACATACAGTACAAAATTAAGTATTGCCCCTTATTTCAGTCAGGCTAAACTAAAGTCGTATTAACAGAAATTCTAACTTCTTCCAAAGTGCTAGTCTGGAAGTTAGGCCACAAAATCCACTCAAAGTGAATAAAGATACTTTTGAAAGCACATAAAGTACTTCCGATCTCCTCAATTGACCTCTCCAATAGCTTGACTTCTTCACCCTTGTCCTTTCATCTGCTATCTGTAGGAGTACAAAAGAAGGGTTCTAAAAAAAAGGAAAACGGAAGCATTATTAAGAGCAGAAAACAGTAATCAAATAGGCAGATGAACACCTAGCTGGCGTCCGTAGCAATTACTTCCCTTTATTTTGCCATTGCCAAAGCATCTCGAGCTTTTCTCTCAGAGTGGCACCTGAGAGTCACATTATTGCTTCTCTACTGAGAGCTTGGAGAAGTTATTTTGCAAATTTTGAGGCAAGCCGTTCCTTTCATCATCAAGTAAATTTCTCAGCTCAATCAATACTAACTCCAATATTGGAGTGGCATTACTATTATGGGCTAACTCATATTTCATAGAGTAATCAATCTGTTCAATATGGCTGAGCTGAGGTCGCAAATCAGTGTTCTCCATAGAAACTGCATTTGGTTTGCAAACTACACTTGCTGGCTGCTCCTCCAACACCAAAATATTTTCATTACTCTTCATAAATTAAGGATGTGCAGGATTAATCAATTTGAACTCACTGGATTGGATGGATGGAATGTCTAGCTAGTAGGATTAAACAATTGGTCTTTTACTGATTGATTAATTATAGTGAATCAAACATTTGTCTGAATCTTTGCTTCAATGGATGTGCATGATTAATCAGTTAACACTAACAGTGGGGGAGGACATCCTGATGGAGTGGGCGCAACCTACTTAACCTGCAAGCCCCACGAGGCTGATAGAGTGTGTCGACGCGCTGGCTGAGTGTGTTAACACGACAGTAGTTCAATTTCCATAAACCAAACTGAAAATGTGGATGAAGAAGTTAATCGTATAAGCTCATTCAATTTGGCCACAGTATATCACCACAATCAGTTGTTGCACAAAACAGGGAGGCACACTATCTCCAGGTAAATGTCATGCTTTAAGTATATGAAGATTATGGATTTCCCTAACTACAGTGTACAGCTGAAGGACCAGTTACTTCAGCAAGCAATTATCGTGCAGACATGGAAATCAACCACAAGGTCTTTAAGGACGTCTCAAACTGTTAACACAACCAGAGTTCTATAAACGGAGGTAAAAATTAAGATAGATGAAGAAGCTTATCATATAAACCTATTGAATTTGATCACGGCACAAGTCACTATCCTCGGAAAACGGGGAGGCATATTATCTCCAGGCCTAGTTTTTCCAAATTAATACTTAGTAAATCACATCATGCCAGCTACTTATCAAAATAAAACCAAGCACCTATCTTCTCTGCTTATCACAATTATTGCCAGTAAACTAAAGAAACTAACTATATTTAACAATACGTGCAATGCTCCAAGTTAGCTAGGGACTCAAACCCATGGGATAGATATATATGCACCTGAAATTGGCTGAATTTTGCCTTGGTTTCCCTCTCAAGGGCCAACCCAGAAATAGAGTCAGCAAACTCTATGTATCCTCCATGTCGATATCAACAGAACCTAGGCGGCATCCGCATCCACCGCACTCGCCGTCTGCCCCAACTCTCACCCGCTGCACCATCCATGGTCCGGCCTGAAGCCTTCTCAGCTGATAGCACCCAGCGCCGTTCGCCACAAGGGAGTCCTTCACCTGACACACATCCCACTTCGCTCCAGAACCACCCTTGCAAGACCTCGGGGGTCTCCTCTGTCACATAGCCGACAACTCGCCGCAGCTTGTGCTCCAGAACCACCCCTCCAAGACCTCGACGGTCTCCTCCAAGACCTTGGCCGGCGGCGCTCG